TCAACTAGCACGAACTTTGATTTGAACTCGTACTCCTTGAATCTTGACTTGTTTTTCGTTCTTGAGCTTGAACTTGATTTATTGAACTTGAACTTGATTGCTTGAAGCTTGAAACTTGTAGAGAAATTTGCGGCGTTTGACCCACGAGCTCTCTCTTACTTCTTGTAACTGGCCCAAATCTTTCAAAGATAATATTAAGGATGTTTTTCACATCAGCATAGAACTTGGAATTAGCTACTTTAGTGGAAGTTGATCTGGAGTTGATTTTCTTTGAAGCCATTTCGATGTTCTTAAACTTTGGTAATTGAAAAGTTGAGATGAGAGGTAGAGATTGTCCCACTGGGCGTGCCAGAATTTGTAGACAATAAATTTACGTCGGAAAAATAAAATCAAGTCCGAAAAATATTGCAACAATCATAGTATTTGATTTCAAATAATATAAGTGTACAATCTCTATGAATCCTCTAATTCTTCTTACCCAATATAAATTCAAGGGCCTTTGAGCTTGATCTTGAATTTGAATTTAATTTATCCATCGCGAACGCTTTGATTGTTGCCACGAATTTTATTACGAACAAGTAGCCTTGATCTTGAACGCCTTGTATTTGATTTGACTTCGTTCTTGATCTTGAAGGCTTGAACACTTGCAGTTTGCAGAGAATTGTGGCCTTTGATCCACGAGCTCACTTGTGTCTTCTTGTTATAACTTCTGGTCTTTTTCTGAGTTATGAAGACTCCTCTTTATAGTTGTGGGAGGGAAGAGTTATGATAAGAACAAACTCTTTCCGACCAATCAAATTGAAGTGTGACAACGCCGTATTTGATTGGCCAGAACATGTCACTTGCACATGTGGCGTGATTTCATTGGCCTTTTAATGTGATTTGGCATGCCTTGTCATTTTGACACGTGGCATGATCCTATTGGCTCTTCCGTTTGATTTGGCGTGCCATGTCATTTGATACGTGGCACCAAACTGGGCCTCCAGCAGGATGACATTTTGGGCTTAATGAAGTGGGCTCATCACTTTAGCCCAATTAAATGGACTAGCCCAATGGATTAAGACATATTTATTTAATCCATTTATGTTGGACTTGTACAATTAATTCAATTATATTAGCCCATAGAATTTATTTGGACCAATATATCTTGAATTTAAAATATAATCCAAACTATTTTATGGATTTAATTTTAATAAAATTTGTATGCCTACAATATATTTTATTAATGTTGAAATATTTTTTTATTTTAAATTTTATTCTGTTGTTGTCAATAATATTATCTGAATTTTAATGAATAAAATCTCTATTAAATTAAAGGGACTTATATAGTCAATTAGTTATTTTTTGTTATGTATTTTTCTTTATTATATTATCCAATATTTAATATAATTGTATTGTTAATAGAAATTTTTATTAGCATATTACTTTGTTTAATATTTTTGTCTACTACTTTTTTTGTAATATAATAGAAGATATATATTTTATTACTCTTGAAATACTGTTTTTATTTTAATTTTATTCCAATGTTCTCAATAATATTGTCTGAATTTTAATGAATAAAAGCTCTATTAAATTAAAGAGACTTGTATAGTCATTGAATAACTTTTTTGTTCTATATTTGTTTTATTATACTTATCCAATATTTAGTATTTTTACATTGGTAATAGAAATTTTTATTAGCATATTACTTTGTTTAATATTTTTGTCTACTATACTTTCTTTTTGTAATATAATAGAATATATATATTTTAGTACTCTTTATATATTTTTTATTTTAAATTTTATCCTATTGTTCTCAATAATATTATCTGAACTTTAATGAATAAAATCTCTATTAAATTAAAGAGACTTATATAGTCATCGAATAACTTTTTTGTTTTGTATTTTTCTTTATTATATTATCCATATCCATAAAATATAAGAGAAGATATATATTTTATTAATGTTGAAATATTTTTTATTTTAAATTTTATTCTGTTGTTGTCAATAATATTATCTGAATTTTAATGAATAAAATCTCTATTAAATTAAAGGGATTTATATAGTCAATTAGTTATTTTTTGTTATGTATTTTTCTTTATTATATTATCAAATATTTAATATAATTGTATTGTTAATAGAAATTTTTATTAGCATATTACTTTGTTTAATATTTTTGTCTACTATACATTCTTTTTGTAATATAATAGAAGATATATATTTTATTACTCTTGAAATACTATTTTTATTTTTATTTTATTTCAATGTTCTCAATAATATTATCTAAACTTTAACGAATAAACTCTCTATTAAATTAAAGAGACTTATATAGTCATCGAATAACTTTTTTGATTTGTATTTTTCTTTATTATATTATTCATATTTAGTATTATTTCATTGTTAATAGAAACTTTTATTAGCATATTACTTTATTTAAAGTTTTGTATGTTACTTTCTTTTAATAATATAATAGAAGATATATATTTTTATAATTTATATTTTATTCTATTATTCTCAATAATATTTTCTGAATAAATAAACTTTGTAGTTTTAAAAAGAAAAACAAATATTATTAAGGAAAACAAAGAAATTTTGAATTGGCATTATTTTTTGTAATTTTAATTTTTTATTTTAAAATAATTTAAAAACTTCAACTTGAAACTACCCTCCAATTTGAATGGACAGTTGTGTTTTATTATTTTTTGTTTTTTATTATAAAATATTTTATTTTATTATTTTATAAATATTTAAATATAAAAATAATAACCAATAACTAATTATTAACTACTTAAACCATGTGGCTTTTTTCTAGGCTACCACTTGGCTTAAGGAGATGGCTTTTTTCTCTCCTTTTAATAATATATAGATTGTTCTCAATAATATTATCTGAACTTTAATGAATAAAATCTCTATTAAATTAAAGAGACTTATATAGTCATCAAATAACTTTTTTATTTTGTATTTTTCTTTATTATATTATCCATATTTAGTATTATTTTATTGTTAATATAAACTTTTATTAGCATATTAGTTTATTTAAATTTTTGTATGCTACTTTTTTTTAATAATATAATAGAAGATATATATTTTATTCTATTATTCTTAATAATATTTTCTGAATAAATAAACTTTGTAGTTTTAAAAAGCAAAACAAAAATTATTAGGGAAAACAAAGAAATTTTGAATTGGCATTATTTTTTGTAATTTTAGTTTTTTATTTTAAAATAATTTAAAAATTCCAACTTAAAACTACCCTCCAATTTGAATGGAAAGTTGTTTTTGTTAATTTTGGTTTTTTATTATAAAATATTTTATTTTATTATTTTATAAATATTTAAATACAAAAATAATAACCAATAACTAATTATTAATTAAATAACTAATTATTAACTACTTATGCTATGTGCCTTTGTTTTAGGCTACCACTTGACTTAAGGAGAGGGCTTTTCTTCTCCTTTTAATAATATATAGATACTTTATTTAAATTTTTGTATGTTACTTTCTTTTAATAGTATAATAGAAGATATATATTTTTGTTATTTATATTTTGTTCTATTATTCTCAATAATATTTTCTGAATAAATAAACTTTGTAGTTTTAAAAAGAAAAACAAAAATTATTAAGGAAAACAAAGAAATTTTGAATTGGCATTATTTTTTGTAATTTTAGTTTTTAAAAACTTCAACTTGAAACTACCCTCCAATTTGAATGGACAGTTGTTTTTGTTAATTTTTGTTTTTATTATAAAATATTCTATTTTATTATTTTATAAATATTTAAATATAAAACAATAACCAATAACTAATTATTAACTAAATAATTAATTATTAACTACTTATGCCATTTGCTTTTTCCTAGGCTATCACTTGACTTAAGGAGAGGGTTTTTTCCTCTTCTTTTAATAATATATAGATTGTACACTTTCATAGCTTTTGAAATAGATCTACGTGCTATTTATCACAGTGCCGAGAATTTCGTCTTTAGGATATTATTATTAACTAAGATTAACCCTCATTTGTATAAATTTAATTAGTTAAACCACGATCTATATTTTTGGTCAAAAGAATTTCTGATAACTAAATTTAATTAGGTTTACATGAAAACCAGAACACTGTTATATATCTTGTCCTTCTCTTCTCCTTTTTTGTATTCACAAATGCATGACTCATGACTGCTTTAAGATGTGTTGTTGGGTAAGGCAGGACAGTTAGAGGTCACTCTTCAATGCTGGGAAATTGCCGATTGGTTCGATATTACAATCAAATTACATTTGCATTTTGCTCTAGACAGGAGTGGCATGCATGTCTTGGGGTTGCACAGTGGCAGATGTAGGCTTAGAGCTACGAGTTCAACTAACCCAGTACTTTTTACACCTAACATAAATTCATATGTGAAAAACAATTAAACTTCAATAAATATTAGATTGTGCTTTCTGCTAAGAGCTCTTATTTTTCTTTAGATAACTAGGAAATATTGGCAAGTGAACCGAAGGTAGGCATGTATTTTTTCCAAATGCGAATAGGTCTTTTAGCTTGCAGTGAAGAAGTGATTTTTTTCTTTAATACTAAGGGAAACTTAAAAAATAATTTTTCGTTAAACTTTTTAATGGTGTATATGTTATTGAACGGTGCCAACGATCATAAAGCTAAGTCTACTTTTTAAAAAAAACAAATTAATTAAACGAATATGGAAGATTATTGTCTCTAGTAAATTTGTGATTGTGAAGTAGTTGCTGTTGATCAAAAAGTCTATTTGCATCCACTGAGCAGTGAACGTGAGAGATTAGGAATATGTTTAGTATTTCTTCTATAAACGACAATGTGAATTATCTTTCCTCTCTATCAAATGAAAAAGGACTGATAATGATATATAGGTGGTATATCTGTTTTGATTGCGTCTGGCTCGTTGGTCCACTCCATTAACAAATAGTGGTCAGTATAAGATGACATAACACATGGCTGAATATAATTGGCTCACAACAGATAAGGAGCAATCCAAATAATCCATGTTGGGTGGTTGGCTTTTGTGTTTTCAAGTGGAGATTAAATTTGTGTATTTCCTCTCAATTTTTGTGTGAATAAAGTAAACTGATAAGCTTTCATATTACTCAAGAGTGTGTCCTCAGAGTTCTGATCATTCTCTCAGATTGATATAGAAATGGCCACCATCAGTGCTTGCACTACAACCTCTTCAGTGGCACGTGCCGCCCTCGTGCAAAATGGATCTGTATCCCGCCCCTCATCTCTTCTTGGTATGTTCATTTTATATTCTTCACAAATCACTTGAAATATACCTTCAGTTCTTCAAATGATAATAGTATATAATATTTCACTTGATGTAAAAATGGTTAAGTATTTGTAAATATTGATTCATATTCTTTCTAAATTTCCTAATATTTTGTAATTATAGATGTGTTTAATGTAAGCCATACATAAGATAGTGTTACCAAAAGCTATAGTAAAATATGCATAAAACATAGCATTACTTCGGCACAATTCTCAAACTTAAAAAGTTGACAGCATGCTTAATGCGATTACTAAAAGAAAATTCGTTGATTCATTCCTAGATGTGTGAAAAATCATAATTTTTTTTTAAAGAAATACTCCCTCTGTTCCAGTTTATGTGAACCTATTTCCCTTTTGGTCCGTTCCAAAAAGAATGACCATTTTCTAAATTTGGAAATAATTTTACTTAAACTTACAATTCTACCCTTAATGAGAATCTATTATAACCACACAAATACTCTGAGCCCCTTTTTGACTTGTTTAGGACCACCAATTACAAAAGTCTTTTATTTTTTCTTAAACTCCGTGCCAAGTCAAACAGTTTCACATAAATTGGAACGGAGGGAGTATTATTTTTGAACACATAATAACAAAAGTATAATAGGTTAAGTGAAAAAACAATAAAATGTCCTCCGCACCTATTAATTAAGTTTAAGTATTGAATCCGTCTCTGCTTGTTATTCAGGATTGCCATCCATGAGCAAGGTTGGAAAGGTGAGATGTTCAATGGAGGTGAAGGGAGAGGGGGAAACATCAAAGTTGGGAATGGGAGCAGCATCAATGATGGCAGCAGCAGTAGCAGCAAGCATGTCAAGCCCAGCAGCAATGGCTCTTGTTGATGAGAGAATGAGCACAGAAGGAACAGGCCTTCCCTTTGGTCTCAGCAACAACCTTCTTGGTTGGATCCTTTTTGCTGTCTTTGGTTTGGTTTGGTCTCTTTACACTGTCTACACTTCTGGCCTTGATGATGATGAAGAGTCTGGATTGTCTCTTTAAGCTTTATTATTACCACTTTATTATGCACCTTTTAATTTTTGTGTATTATGTGATATAATCAACTTAATTAGTGTCTTCTTATTGATGTTGTATCTGCAACTCTTCAATTGAAGTCTTCTATTTTCCTTTCCTTTTTTTCCTCTTTACTTAAGGCTTTTACTTGCTATTTAGACAAAATATATAATATTCGAGAAGAATAGGGAAGCAAGGAAAGGAGAAGTTGTGAAAGTATCCGGTCTTGGGAGTAAACTTGTTGATTTCTAGCAAACTTGGTAATGCATTTAGACCCTTTTATAGAGAAAATGCAATAATTTTGGCAAAACATCTGTGCCTAAGACTAGATAGACTTTTATGTACTGATAATCAACAACTTCAATTCTTTATTGTCCACAAAATTTTAGGCTTTCTTTCTCATTACTGCATGATAATTCAATTTGTCTTTCCTTTTCGTTTGTTCTTCTTCGCAAGAGTAAAGTTGTAGTCATCAAATTCTGATAAAAATATATTCGTCTGGTTTCTATGCATTAGCCTTTCCTACGTACATGATTCGCGAATGAATGTTAGCAAAGATTTCTTGTCAATTTAAGCCTAATCAGATATTCAATGCAATTCAATATTTTCATCTTCAATCGACAAAATAAATGCTTTGGATCAGTTTGTTAATTTTGTTTCGAAATACTTACATTACAACTACAAAACCAATCAGCTACATCAATAACACTTACTAACGATTTGCAAACAATAGAACAGATAATGAATAATGAATTGACAATTAAGTTTTCTGCTTCTCTTGTATGATTAATTTTGGTGCTGAAAGTCTTGGCTGATACTGTAATATTTTCTGGAAATCCATTGACTTGAAATTCTCGAGTGGTGTTTCAATTATACTTACTATAAAACTCGAAGAAATGACTTGTGCTACCAAATATTGACAGATATTGTTGGGCAGGTTCATGCCAATGCAGGGGACTTTTAGGCCCAAAATAATTTTAGCATAATAAGGTCTTTACATCAATTAGAAGAGTTTGTAATTTTGTAACAAGAATAATGAATTTATAACATAAAATATCAATGTAAAAAAGCATCAAAGAGTGAGCTTGGAAATTTCAAATAGTTCAAATCAACTATTGTACATGTCCAGCCCATTGCGGAAAATTCCCTATTGCTGCCTCTCGTAGGAGTCTAGACGTGTCTCAGTTCCAGTGTGGCTGATCATCCTCTCGGATCAGCTTCTGATCACCGCCTTGATTAACTATTAGCTAATCAGATGTGAGCACGTCCCCACAACTATTTGAAGACGATCCAACAAATGAAGGTAGCTAAGCTAGGAGGAGTCTAATTCATCAGTTGGCATCTCACAACAGCAAATAGGACAACAGTGAGCATTCTCTAACCATTGCGTAATGCAATCGCCATGAAACATATGTGTGCAAGGCATACACAAAATCTCCCTCCCTTCCCCTAGTTTGTCAGCACAAATCACACAACCATCAATCATACATTCTCCATCGACCTCCATTCTCTCGGGCAACTCCATGGACGATTTACTAGCAGGTACCATCTCATTGAAGCGCGACAATTCTTCAAACAAATTGTTGGGTTTTTCTTTATAGTGTGTGAATGGGAAATGGAAGAGGCACCTCTTGGATTGCACCTCTTCATCACACCCTTTCATTATCTGTAAATTTAAAGGCTTGGCCTCATTTTTCATCCATAAAAAATCTGAAAACGTCTCCCCTCTTTTTACATTGTTGCATTATTTTCCAAATAAACATAAGTGTCAAATGTGATTTGCCCTGTTTGTTGAGTTCGCTGAAGTTCTATGATTTGTAGTGCCGCTATCACAGAATGTTATTCCGTTCTATCGTGGAAGGAATTAATAAAAGTTTCTTGCAATTAGAAGTCAACTAGTGTTAGTTTTGCTAAGCATGAGCGCCATCAAGTGGTGTGATCAAGCCAATGGAATTTTAAATGGAAGTCATGGCCGTGGCATAGCTTCATGATTTTCCAACATGTTTTTCATTTCTCCGGTGAATTTGTTTTGATCCGATGATACAAACAGAAATTCAAGAAGAAAGCGGCAACAAATCCGGGTTCTATTTTCATGACTCGATTTAACATACAAACGTATATGTTCCTCTTGATTTGATTCTCAAAGAATCTTGTACGCACTTGCTGGAGATATACTCTGTGCGATGTTTGTGTATGAAGCCGACTTGGAACTGGAGTTCTAGTTGGCTGAAAGTCTTCACAAGCAGTTCCTGTCCAGTAGGAATTGAATTAGACCGCGACAATATTGATATTTCAGGCATTGACCCTGTTCAAGTCGGGGAAAACATAAGAGACACATCAGTAGAGAATTCCATAACGGGCAAGTGATTTCAAAACAGTCTCGGGCAATACAACAGAGTCGTGTAATATGTTGGGAGACATGGAAGAGCAGATGTTCTTGCAAATATGGTGATAAAAAGAGGTTTAACTACTACAAGATGAAGCAACAGATTTACTGGAATACTCAAGCTGCAATCAATAGAGCTTTCCCAAAATGCAAGCTAACATTGCCTTGGATCAACTTTTGTGACAACATGATGACACTTCAACCTATTCCTAAGGCTATCTCAGTATGCAGGAATAAACCTAAACAGGGAGCCATTAAAGTAAACACCGATGGAAGCTTTATTCATGGTAATGGAAAAGCGGGATTGGGAGGAGTAGTGAGAAACGAACAAGGAAATCTCATTGTGGCCTTCTCAATTCCTTCAAAATGCAGCAGCAATAACATGGCAGAGGCTCAAGATGCTATGTTTGGCATTAATTGGTGTGTACAAAATGGGTTCTCATACTTCACAATTAAATTGGACTCAATGCTGGTGGTGAATATGCTCAAGGAGGGTGATACCAACAACTATAGGTTGAAGAAGATCATAAAGGATACTTCACATATAATGAACCAGGCTAATATTAGCCCTGTGCATTGCTTCAGGGAGACAAATGAAGTAGCAGATTCTCTAGCAAAATTGGCGACTACTAACTCTGAAGCCAAAGTATACCTTTCTTTCCAACAACTCCCAAAAGTAACTAAAGGTTCTTTTGTGCTTGACAAACACCAGATGCCTACTGTTAGGCTTAAGTATGACAAAGCAAATTTTTTTGTTAGCTAAGTAGTAAATGTCTTGTACTTTAACAGAGGCGCAAACTAATATAACAACTTTGTAACAACTTCTGTTGGATGTATATCAATGTGTTATAATCCTTGGAGGTAAGGCTCACATCCCCTCCTATCTTTTGAAAATAAATACAACACCCCAGGAAGCTTAGAAAATTCCTAATATATATATATATATATATATAAGGAAAGGCATCAAAATCTGGCAGAGAATTTATTGTGACAGGCCATTACTCGGAGTTATAACTTTGGTAGCATACTTAAAATTATGTGAAAAAAATATTTTCAAGGTTGTAAGTATGTATTAGGCTTACATTGATGCTTAAAAATTATTTTGAGATCATGTAGATGAAAAGTTTATATGTATTAATATTAATATACATGTGTTAGTTTGATAACAATCATATATCAAACTGTTGAAATGGTTGGGGTTACATTGGTGTAGTTGGCCATTTGAAAAGAAAACCAAAATACTTGTGGTTTTCTACCCCTATTTGGAGTTAAAATCCTCGCGATTTTCTACTCACATATAGGAGACTAAAATCTTCGTAATTTTCTACTCCTGCTTCGAGATTAAAATCCACGTAATCTCCTACTAGTTCGTTGAGATTAAAGTCTGTGTGACTTTCTACTCATTTGTGGGAGATTAAAGTCTAAGTGACTTTCTACTCTTTTTGAAAGACTAGAATCTTAGTGATTTTCTACTCCAATTTATAACACGGTGTGAAGATTAAAAACTTCACCGATTATTAAATTTGATTGTGTCAGATATTACTCGGTTTGAAGATTAAAAATTTTGCCGTTTATTAATTTTGGTTGTGTTAGATCGGTTTGAAGATTAAAAACTTTATCATTTATTAATTCTGACTCTGTCGTGACACAAATAACAGTTCATATGCTTGGATCTACAAAGTAATAAGGGTGGAGAAGATGAATGCCTTGTTGATAAGTTCTAGTTTATCACAAAACTTGTGGGGGGGAGGGGGGGGGGAGATATTCTTGCATCT